GCTTTCTTTTTAAATTTGGTTTTGTTTAACATCTTTTATCAGTATGAGCAGCCCCTGGACTGGACTTTTTATTCCAGCCCCTGCCAGGTGGTAAAGCCAGCACCACACACCCCACCTCACTTTTGAGCCTGGCCATTCTGCTTTGAAGTATAGTTTGAGGCAAGCTGTCTTCTGCCTCCTCTTTCTCTTTGCACCAAAACCACTGGATGACCACAAAGACAAAGTACAGAAGTGAGGATGGCAGCCCGGCAGTACCATCTCAGAAAGGAGGGAAAACCTCAGCGCACTACATCAGACAATCTTTCGTTGTGATCTTTCCAGTGTAACACTGCAAACTTGTTCTCAGAAACTCTGAAGTACGCGTTGCTGAGGCCTTCCATTTGGAGGGTAAGACCAGAACATAAGATTGCAGGCGGAGTGAGACAATGGTGTTTCATTATTCATGGAAACATACTGCTGGTGTATGTGCTTCGGTTGGAGCTTTTGATGAGCAGAAAATGTGCTCTGAACTTATTTTTCTTTTTGTGAAGTCCTGACACAGCACTTCTGGTTTCAAAGGCAGCTGTATAAAAGGACCAACAGAAACCCCACAAAATGAGACCACCTTAAAATCAAGTTTACTGGCTAAATGGGATTAAGCTAGACTTGTGTTTTAAGAAGAATAAACCAGAAGAAAAAAAAAAAAACAAGTCCTGCTGCCTGGTGCCCACTTCTATCTGAGCAGCTCTGAAGTCCAGATGCGAGCTGTCACTGCAGCATCTCTGGAGAGAGCGTGGGAAGTTAAAAGTCAGTGTTTCTGATTAATTAATAATCATCCTCAGCTGTGTTGGCAAATGATAAAAACAAATTGTCTGCCTTTAAAGTAAGGGTGGAAGATGTGTACTTACCCAGAACAGAACGGGAAGGAGGAACAGCCCCGCTGGCCTAGTGTGCCCTTGACTGGTCTGGTGGTAGCTGAACAAAGACAATGCTGTGTGCCTCGTACCCTATAAAGTCATGGTTAGGAAGCAGCAATCAGAGCAGGGGAAGTCAGTTGGGGAGGGAGGCAAAGGAAGCCAGTGTCTAAGACATAGCCCAAAGGACTATTTTATGGCTACCAAGTTGTCTTCAAAAACAACCCAACTAAGCATTGGCAGGAGTAACTGCTTCTCCATGCTTGTCAGTGGAAAAAGTTTGAGATGGGGCCAGCGAAGCTCCGAATGAGCGTATGTTCAGGCACACACATGGAGGTGTGATGAGATAAAGTTTTATTGAGAGTCAGAGCAGAAATGCATTGACTCTTTTTACTTTTAAAATTTTATTTATTTACCACAGTATTGGAGATTGAACCCAGGGCCTTGCACATGCTAGGCAAGTGCTCTACCCCTGGACTACCTCCCCAGCCTTTTTTATTTTGAGACAGGGTCTTGCTAAATTGCCAAGTTGGCCTTGGCCTTGTAATCCTTCTGCCTCAGCCTCCCAAGTAGCTGGGTTTACAGGTGTGTGCCCCCACACCCAGCCATTTTTAGATTTGCTGCCGATCAGTAAACCAATGACCCAGTGTCACCCTTTCTTGAGACCCTGCATGTTATTTTCCTACCCCGAGCCTGTAGTCCTTTAGCCATGCATCCTCCTAGGCTCTACCATGTATCACCTAGTCTCCCAGCCGTTCTTAGCTCCTCCAGTGTACAGACCTTGCCTTTGTGGCACTGCCAGAGACTGATTACTGGGTAGAGCAGACATGCAACACGTCTTAACTACACTGGGTGGAATGGAAGAAGGCCGGTCTGAGGCATGGAGCTGTGCTGGATGCTATATTCATTCTGCTGCTCCACGTGTTTCAATCCCCAGTGACCAAGACATTTGTTTCCTTTTTTAGTCCCTGCTGCTAGAGCTACCATGTAGGCTCTAATTAATTTTTACCTATCCTACCCTCATGGTCTGCAACTAATCCACCCTTCCTACTTGCTTTCAATTTAGTCTATCATATACACTTGATTCTCCCTGATTCTATCTTGTCCACCCTCTCAAAATCATACCAACTTAATACTTCCTACAACTCAAAAGCCTCCACACTGTGGATCCAGAATATATTTCCATCTGAACCCATAACTACCCCTGATGTTATCAAGTGCCCTACATCCTGTGCAAGTGAACAATGCATGTTTCTCTAATCCACTCTTACTTTCCTACCTTTGTCCCTGAAAGTAAAACTTTCTCAACCTTTAAGGCTCATATCAAATGCCACCTCTTCCACAAGGGATGTGATTTCACCTTTGGGTGAGATTGCCCTTCTCTTGATTTTACCCCACATTCTGTTCTATGTCTTCTCTCCCTTTCTCTGTCTATGTGCCAGTCTAATTACCCAATTAGAAGCCTAGGAGGGCAGAAAGGCCAAGCTCCTGGCTGCTGAGTTACATTCAGAGTGAACCAGATGGCTCGCTCTCCTCCTGTCTTCATCAGAACTGTTCATACCACGTAGCTGCAGACCTCCTCTAAGACTCTGGCATCATGACAAAAAAAATCCAAAACTCCAACATGATTATTTACCTACTTTCCTGGGGTGTCCAGGGTGAAGTAGTTTCCATAACACATTAAATCACCACTTTCAGACCATGTCATTCTTTTCATCAGGTGAAGCTGAGATGTCATTGTGAAAACGCCACTAAACTGTGAGGTCAGTATCAAGTCTGAAACCACAGCCAAGTATTAGCTTCCCTTCCATAGGTCCTGCAGACCTACCTGGGGTGGTAGTCAAAGGAATCTGGCAAGTATAAGTCTGTCCCTACAGCGGGCCTGGTTCAAGTCTTAAAACTCAAGGCAACATTAGACCACCATTGGCATATCCTAGAATTTTCTAACCCCCAACAAAGTGCCTAGAAAGTACTGGGCTGGTTTCTCAAGGACTAAAAGAGCAGGTAATGATTCAAACTGAGGAGAAATACCCAGGAAAGGGATTTGATGAAAACTTCCACTTTCCAGGAGAAGCCAGAATAACTTCTGGCAGAGAAGTCATACTCAGGACAGACTTACATACACCAAACTTCAGAGAGCAGTCAAACACACGGGAATTTGTTTCAGCCTCACAGAGCTCCTTCAACCTTAGCAAGAAGGTCTTTCCATGCCAGGACACGTCTGGTGGCCTGAAAGTGCTGCACAGACTGACAAGCATCTCGAGGCACTGGGTCCTCTCTATGTGAGCTTCTACAGCACACAGGCCATGGGGTTGGCAGAGGGAGAGTGTTGCCATATGAACTGCTCTTGGTGGCTCCACCCTACCCCAGCTCCTGGGACAGACACAAGGCCTGCAGGGTATCCTGGCCCAGGAGCCTGTGATCACTCAATAGGTACCTGGGAGGTAACTGTTGGCCCAAGAGCCTGTGACCACTCTCTGGTGGCCTCGGTCTTGTGGAGTTTCCAGGTACACAGGCTCGCTCTCATCTAGATCCCAAGTTCTGCAGGGTCTCGAGGAGTCTCTGGGACAGGCAGGGCAGTCAGTACAAGTGATTCTCCTTTGGCCTCTCTGCTCAGCCTAAAAGTTTTTCTCTTTTGCATCTTTCTTTTTTTTCCTCTGGTACTGGGAATTGAACTCAGGACCTCACACTTGCCAGGCAGGTGCTGTGCCACTGAGCTACCTGCCTGGCCCTTTTGCATCTTTCTAGAACTGAGCAGTGTCCGGCTTTACCTTCAACCCTGGATGGCTATGGTAGTCAGTATTCCATTACTGTAATAAATACCTGAGGTAAGTGTACTTATAAAGACAAAAGGGTTGTTTTGGTCCACATTTTGAAGCTTTTAGTCTGTGACTGACTGGCCCAGTTGCTCATGGACCTGTGCTGAGGCAGCACAACATGGCAGAGAACAGAAGAAAAGCTGTCCCCTTAGGGCTAAGAAACAAGATGGAAAGTGGAAGAGGCCGGGGCCCTGCACTTCCCTTCAGAGATGCCCTGTGATGACCGACAGTCCTCCCCTCACAGGGCCCCGCCTCCTAAGGGCTCTGTGACCTCCCCAAAGTGCCATCCCACATCCAAACTATGGCAGTGGTTTTGTCCACAGTAATTCTTGGCATCTGTTTCTGTTCCTGAGCTCCCTAACTTTAACCTCTAGAGCGTCACCCTGCCCCTGATCTGCAGCAATTAAGTCTTTTTAGGACAGACACTTGTACAGGCTGAGTCTGGTATGCTGACTTTTTAACCCAAGTACTGGTCTATAGCAAGAGTATTGACACTAACTTTACCACTAAGGGGCTACGTGATTTGGGACAAATGACTGCGCTACTGTGGACCTAAATTTTTTCATCTATACAGTGAGGAAATGGATGAGATAATCTCTAAGATGCACCTGGCTCCAACATCCCATCCTCTCTGATCTTACTATTCTGGGGTTTCCCTGGGCAGCCTCCATTCATTCATTCAACAAATGTTTATTTAGCAACTACCATGTGATGACTTTAGGGCTCGATTCTGAGAATATACTGTGAATGAGACATGGCCACGGTCTGCAAGGTCTTTGCAGTCTAGTAAAAACGTCACCTCAATCTCTAGCACCAACACCACACACACAAAAGACAACTGCTTATTCAATGGTTTGACCTCTGTGGAGTAAGATGCGAACTCAGCGAGGTAAGTGCGGGGCCACCTCTTAGTTTCCTGGCTCTCAGGGATCACTTCACCTGACTGCCTGATGTACAGTGCTATGAAAACTGCTGTTCTGTACACTGCGTCTGGTTTTTTCTTTTGGAAGTTGTTTCAGGCGGGAAAGTAAATTTGGTCTCTATTCCCACATATTGGCCAGAAGCAAAAGTCCCACCAAACATGCTTGGTTATACGGTCTAACCCAAAAACAAAAGAAAAGAAAAAATAAAGACTGTATTTCTGTTATATTTGTATTTATTTGTAAATTATATACATATATACTTGTCACTATGTATAGTAAACATTAGGCATATTATTTAATACTAGTAGTAGTAAAGCTTCATTTTCCCTTTTTTAAAGATTAAAGCATACATAAATGAAAGTTAATTTTTTTTTCTTTCCTGCATTTCAATAGAACATCTGTGTGTCCACAAATCCAGGACCAAAGGACTCAGGAAGTCCAGCTCTGTGAACTTTCAAAACTGGCTGACAAAGTATCCAAGATACATGGTACAGGTAACATTATACATTGAGTTCTAAGACAAGATAGTAGTATGAGATTGGCATGCTTTGGCTGATACCAATTAAAGCTAAGCTTTTATAAAAACAGTACTTTGAAAATAGTTTTTAAAAATTGTATTCCTTGCTGGGCATGGTGGTACTTGCTTATAATCTCAGCACTTTGGGAGGCTGAGGCAGGAGGATGGCAAGTTCCACCCAATCTGAGAAACTTAGAAATTTAGCAAAATCTTATTTCAAAAAGAAAAATAAATTAAAAAGGGTTGAAGATGTAGCTCAGTGAGAAGGCGCTGGAATTAATCCCCAGGACCTGGGGAGAAAATGCATTCCTTGATCTCATTCAGCAAAATTTCCATTATCTTTTCCTGTACTTTGACCAGACCTTATTTACATGTCAAAATGGTCAGTAAATATTAAACACATTCTCAGAACTGTACACCAGGCATGTGGGAAAATGCAATACATTTGAATATGAATGCCCATCTTGAATTTAAGTGCATTTGCTTTCCTACCTGCACCATGGGTGGGATGCTCGTATGGGTAATGTCTTAGTTTGTTCTGTGCTACTATACAGAATACCAGAGGCTGGGTATCTAATAATGAACCAAAAAGTGTTTGTTCCTGGGTCTGAAGACTGGGAAGTCCAAGACTGAGGGGCCATATTGGGGTTGTAGCTGCATCGTTCTCTGACAGAAGAGCAGAGAGGGCGAGGGCAGGGGGCTGAACTCCCCCTTTTATAAGAACCCACTCCCCTGCTAACTGCATTACTTCCTTCATCTGCCCTCAGCATAATGGCCTCTCCCACGGGGGATGAAGTTTCCAATACCTGCCCTTTGCGGGTATATTCAAACCATGACAGCTGGGCTCTAACCACTAGTTCTGGGGAGAGGCCTCTGGGATTAGGTACATTTGCTTTGCTTCCTGGGGCCCCAGAAGATGCTCAGAGACCAGGCTCGGGCCTTTTCTCAGCAGCCTTTCCCTCTGGCTCTTGAGCCTGGCTCATGTGCAGCCCCAGAAAGCAGTCAAGGGCAGGCAAGGCCCACAGAGCCCAAGGTGGCTTTCACCGTCACGGCTGCTCACTGGCAGAGCAGGCGCCGCCAAGGCTGCTGCCAAAGGGCCACTGCAGCAAACCAGCAGGAACCGGAATGGCTGGCAGAAAACTACCCCTTCTCAGACGGGAGCTTGATTTCCACCCGGACCCACAGCTTCAAAGGACAGCTGCCTCTGAGGGAGGGTTTGACCAAATCCAGTTTGCATGTCTGAAATAACGTTTCTCGCTCTGAACCTGAGTCCCAGAAGCCTCTCTTGCTAATAGCCTGACGTTCCCTCCGTTCTCGGAGGTCTGGGTTGTTCCAGCTGTCCTGGATGATAGCTGAGCCTCAGGAAGGGAGTCCTGTCCAAGAAACCCCAGCCCTGGCTCCCATTTCAGCCACTTTATAGACCTTCACATAAGAACAGATTGAACAGACCTGTGTGTGTGAGGCTGAGGGAGAAAGGGAAGAGTGTTTTCTGTTTATGACTGGGACACTTATTCTCCGGGCTCGGGTGTTTCAGCTGAGTTCTGTGGCCCAGGCACGTTAGCACCAGAAACCTCCTCGGCCTCAGTCATACGTGCTACCCCACCTCTTCCTCGCAGCCCAGGCCTTTCCTCTCAGGGGACCCTCCCCATTTCGCGCTTTCACAGAGTGAGGCTGCTCCAGGGCTGCCTCGGGTCACACCCTGCTCACACTGCCCAACAGCAGCTGCCGAGAGATCCGGGTGACTCTGTGGTCTCCATCTTCTGCTTCTTGTGGCGGACAGGAAGCAGCACTGAGTGAGAGCTGGGCTCTGGCACTGGACAGGGGTGGCGCAGGGAAGGAATGCTGATTACATGAAATCCAGGGCGGCTGTGTAATGTGGAGCCGGCAAGCACCATGTTCCCACACTGTAAGACATGATGACACTGTTAAAACTGACTGGTGGGCGGGGGAAAGTGAAAGAAAAAGAAGAAGGGGGAACAGAAACCAGAGTGAGACACACAGAAGGGTCAGGCAAGAGTAAGAGCCAAAGCATGAGGAGAGGCCAGGAAGACGGGCGGCCTGGAAGGGAACCATGGCGAAGCAGGCGAGTGAGACTACAGGTAGGAGGAAGGAAGCAGACCAAGGAAAATGCAACGAGGTGTGAAAAGAAGACATAGCTATTTGTTTGAGGAAATGGGAGGTAATTTGCCAACTCATGAACAAGCCAGGGTGCTGGGCGCCACTCCAGCAGCAACCCTTCCGAGCACATCACCTTCAGAGCCCCCAGCACCGGCCGGTGCAGCCCCTGACCTTGCATCTACCTCTGCTTACTCGAGGCCTCATTGAATTTAGGTAGAAAGGGCTTGTGAGACTCTGGGGGAAAGCAGGGGATGTGAGCTGAAGAAACAGACCAGCGAGGCTCATACATCCAGCGGGAGCTCTCCTGAGTGGATCTCCTAAAAGGCTTTGTCCGTGGTCCTGTGAGTGACACAAAGAAATAGAAACCACAGCTTTTGGCCTGAAGAAATTCACTTCCTAGAGAGGGGGCAAGAGGTACATACACAAAGCACTATACAGAGCAACAGTATTAAAGGTACTGCTTGAATGAACATAATAAGAGAATACTGGGTGAAAGAAGGAATAAGATAATTTTTAAAATGCAATGCAGAAAGGCTTTTTTGACAATGCCACTTATGAAAACCTTTAAAATGCAGGAATTAAATCAAAGTTTGGTCAACTAGGTTGAAAAATTTAAAACTGTACCAAGAAGGTCCAGTACCTGGGCTTGCCAATAGTATAGCAAAGTTTCCAAATTGAAGCAAAGAACAGGAAGCACTGTTAAATCCAGTCTTCCAGGTGAGTTGGATCTACCTAGACACTTTAAAAATATTTTTTAAAATTAGTACAAGGGGCCGGGGACATAGCTCAGTGGTGTAAGTGCCTGCCTGGCAAGCACAAGGTGCTGAGTTCACTTCCCAGTAGCATTAAATAAATAAATAAATAAATAAAATTAGTACAGTACACCTAGAAGCCATATTTAACACTAAGAGGCAACAAGGAAAGCCTAAGTTGATGGCTATGGAGGAGGCCAGCTGGCCCACCAAGGCTGGCCTTCGTCTGTGGGTTTGGACAGATACAGATATAAGACAATTGGAGATCAAAGGTCAGATAAAATAACTAAGGTGGGAGGTGGGGAGAAGGATATTGGCTGTATATGTGTGTGTCACAGAGGTGAGGGCCTTTAATTTGTAATTGAGAAAAAAGGTGAAGGTGATGATAATGACAACTAACACTTATGGAGCACAAACTGTGTGCCACAGAATTCTAAAAAGACATTTTACACACATGTATTAGTTTACATAACCCTCACTACCACCCCATGAGGTGTTTATAATTATTATTTGCATTTTATACCTAAGAAACCCATTTTAGCAGCTGGAAGACAGTTTAGGATTGTACCAATATGTATCAACCTCACTGCTGTTGGAAAAGTCAGTTATTGGAATTTCCATTTAAACGGCCATAAAACACAATAAGTAGTAGTTTTACAGTAGAAATAAGAGTGTGTTCTGTTGCACAGAGCTAAATGCAATAAAGTTTCTTACGGTTGTTTGATTATATCAAAAAAAAGGAAAAAAGAAAGAAACCCAGACATAGAAAGATCAAACAATTACCACAGAAGCCTAAGACTCTAAATTCCACAACATTCTCTCTGAAGCCAGGCAAGAGTCAATGTTTCAGTTTATTTATTGTAAACATTCATTTATATAAATATTTGTGTCTAACCTGCTTATAGAAAGAGTGTGGATGATAAAGCTTTTGTGGAGAGACTGTTTTATCATCAGGAAGAGTATTAGCATTATTATTAAGACAATGCTTTTTCCAGAAATACCAAATATATGCTCACATCATCAGGCATTCCTGCAAAGCCCTTAAGTTTTCAGGAGCTCATGAAACACATCACCCTCCTGTGTGTTCATAATAGACAACAGTGTACAGGAACGTTCTATCCAGAGAAGAAAGGTCCTTTCTGACACAGTTCTCCCAAGCTTTGGGAGGTGGTAGTCCTCTTCTGAAAAGCTTGCCCACTGGGACAGAGAGGCAGTTTTTTGTCCTCAAGGGAGCCTCCCCCACAAGGAACAAACCAGAGGACCACACCATGTCAGAAACAGAGTTCTGAGTCTGAGAGGCAGCAGATAGAGAAATAGATAGCAAGTACATCTGTTTTCACAAGGGCCTGTTGTTCTCTGTACTAACTGCTATAAAAACAACATGAAACTAGCCACACATTAGTTTTGGTTCTCGTGACTAAATCAAGGAATGGCAAGATGGTGCTGCGTCATTAGAAATGAAACCAGTTCTTCAATGCAAGAGCAGGGCCGACATTTTAGTAACCTGAACAATTTCATAGAAAAATCAAAGCTGACACTTAACACCTGCTGCCTAAGGTTGGTTCTGAACCAGTGAAACGTCTTTTCTCGCAGTGAAGACATGGAAGGGGCCCTGACTTGCCCAGACTTGGGTGGTCAGGGGAAGTCTTGCTCCAGATGTCCTGCCAGGTGGAACTGTGGGCTCAGTTTTGCCTTCAACAGGACAGACTGTATTTGGCACTTTGAAAAAAATACAACAAAGAAGCCTCGTATTTAGCTTTTACTTTTTCAGATACACAACCTTGTGTACTTTGACACCTATACTTCTGTTTTGCTCTAAGAATTGGACTTTCCCTGGGGCATTATCAGGGCACTTGCAGAGGTGACTTAGCTAGAAGCAGGCAGATCAGGGCTTCTGAACAGCTTTTTATCCGTATGTTCACTGCCTCTAATTTGGCCTTTATCACGAAGATGCTGATGTTGATGCAAATACTCATACGTTGCCTCTTTGGTACCCACTTCCCGCTGCTCCTGCTAGAGCACTCAAGTTTTTTCTTCAGTCCCTCCCTCCTCCCACTACTCCTTGCTCCAGCAGATGGCTACATACAGGCCCCTAATGTGCTTAAGCCAGGGTCCCCAGCATCAGGCCACGTGGTTGGTTTGGGCAGGGTGGGCAGTTCAGACAGTGCAGTTTAAGGAAACATGTGCCAGAGCATCTGGTAAAAAGTTTCCTCAGTCCTGAACTGTAATACTACAAGGGACGATCCCTCTTTTCCTAGGGGGTGCACTGGAGAATACCAAGTCCAATATTTCCTCAGCAATTTTTGCACCAAAAGTGGCAGCCTGACGATCAAGCCAGCATACAGAACAGGCGATACTTACGATCAGAGCACATGAAGTGCTGGTATTATGAGGAGGGTGTAAATTCGAGATCAACCTCTGGAGTTTTCAGGAAATGAGTCAAAGCAATCTCTTGGTTTGCTTAAGCCAGTTTGCATTTGATTTTCTGCCACACAGAAAATTTTAACCAATGAAAACATTGCTGGTGCCACTTCGAGTAACATCTGATTATTGCTCTGGGTTCTCAATCAATAGCCTGAAGTCCTTTTGACCAAAATTACCAGTCCTCCAAAATTCACCAGCATTCCGAAGCACACCTATCCCGGTGCCTGTCTGACTCCGTACCAAGGACTCACATTTTTCTATTCCTGAGGTCTGGCTCTTCAGTTTTCTGTCCCATCTTGCTTCACCTTAGCTGGTTCTCTTCTGAGTCCCACTGCAGTGATAAGAGCTAGCACTCTGCCAAAGAAACAAGCAGGAGAGCAGGCAGCCAGCTGCAGAAGCCCGACATCAGCAGGGACAAAATATGCAGTGTTACGAAAGGATTTTGTCATAATATACATTTGAGTACAACATAAAACCAGGCCGAAGCAGAATCTTTGGAGCACAGCCACAGGCACTATTACCTCCCCAGCTCCCTGCCCAAAGGCTGGATCCCACGGATTTTGTGATTACTCTAAGGATCTTTATTTGCCAGTGGTTAACTCACAGAGGTTAACAGAGTTAGCATTAAAGTGTATAAAGTCATGTAGGTTTGAAAATCTGTGAAGAGAAGTGATTTTTGTGACTCTACTCAATCTCAGTTTCTCTTGAAAATTTCTGTTATTTCCACTTCTCGCCAAAATGACTAAGCACAAAGGTAGAAATACAATATACAGTAAACAGCTGTAGTTACCCTCTGCAGTCCAACAGTGAGAATGGCAGCATAGACGAGTACGACAGGGTTAGATGTGTGCAGGGGGCTCCCTCTTTCCTACACTAATTCTTCCACACCCAATCTATCAGGAAGATTGATATTTTCCAAATATTACTTAATTCCCTTCTCTCCGTCTTTATTACAGTCTTAAGCTCTGCTGTGTTCCAGACACGGTTCCAGTGCCTCGGAGAACAAGAAGGACAATGAAATGTAAGCTGTACACTCCAGTGGTTCCTCTTGCTTGGGCCACCAAAGATCTTTTTACTGGCCACACCCTGCTTCTTCTTGTGTGCTCTCCTTGTATTTGCACATAGCAGCCTAAAACTTCCCAACAGCTTTCCACTGCTTTTCCCTTTGCTTTGTTTGCTGTTTCCTTTTCCCCCTCTTCTCCTTCCTCCCCCCACCCCCTTTCTTTCTTGCAGGGGATTCAACCTAGAGCTTTCACCTTGGCCTGCCTACCCTAACCCTTTTTCACTTGAACTTATCCTTCTGCCTCAGCTGCTAGAGTGCTGGGATTACAGGTGTGCATCTCACCTGCTTATCGCTTCTCAAACTGAATACCATGCGGCCTCCGAGACCTGCTGGCAGCTCTGTCACTCCTTCCAGATCTCTGGCCTCTTCTTATCCCGTGTTCACTCCTCACAGGTGCACTGGTCTCCCTGTAGATCCTCAAGCATGTATATCTTCCTTTTCAGGGTCTTTAATCTGCCCTTATTTCTGCCTAAAACAGTGGCCTTCAAACTTTTTAAAAGTCATACTCCCCATTAAGAAATTCCTCTTTATATGAATCAGTAAATAT